CGGCTTTCACCGCGGACGAAGCGGAGTCCAGCCCGGGGTCGTCACATGTGGTTGCCGCAAGCCCACCGGACGCTCCTTCGTCGAATCCACAGCTGCGCCGTTCTCAAGCCCGCCCGCCGCCGCCGCTCACTCTAGCCGGCCTCCGCATACTCTAGGCCGCCGCTCACTCTAGGCCTCCGGCCTCCGCTCACTCAAGTGTGTCACGCTTTTTCGTTGTGAAAGCGAAACTACTTTGTTTGGCCTTCCAAAAGAGGACACGCCAACTACACAAAATAATATTATTTTTAGCAGCTGAATTCATCCTAACACACAGAGTTACTTTTCAATTAAAGAAAGAAATCACTTGTTTTGTCTATTTATGTGGATGGCATTTGTGCCAGGATGTGCATGCACATCACTTTCCTACTTTTGTCCTCTCACATGATCGAACCAAATGCATTTATAGAAAGGAAATATTTAGAATAGCATAAAATTTTTGGTTTATAAATAACATAATTATTATAATAGAGTATTATAAAGTTTTTGAAAAATCACACCACATGAACTAAACTTCATATATTTAATGATTTAAAAACAGAATACGAGTTAAATAGAAAACATTTTTGATTTGGTGTCTGGAAATGCATTACTAAGAGATCTATGAAGGTTCATAAGACAAAAAGGTTGGGAAACACTGATTTCCAACAATTCCTTGCTCCTATACAGTAAATATTTAAACGTCCACTGAGGTTCTTCATCAATGTCTTGGTCTCTTATCAACAGAGATGTGTGATGAACTATGTGACAAACAACATTGTTCTAATATTAAGTTTTCAACCCTCATCCAAGAACATCCAGGATGCTTCAGAATAGACTTTCCTGAATCAAACACATGAAGAAATGCTTCCATTCTACCATTATTTATTTATTGTGACATTTAGTCCCTCCCGTAAGTCCCAATCAAGATGCATGCATTTGCAATCAGCATCTTGAGTGCTCAAGGTAATTAAGTACTGGCGACACAGCAGTGGAATGGCTGTTTTTTTCTGTCTGTGCGTGTGTAATTATTTCCCCTCGGTCGACAAGAGACCTGAATGAAATAACATGTATAATTAAATGCAAACCGTAAAGTGCCGCTTCTTTTTTCTTAGTGTGTTTTTAATAGAAATGCATTTAAGAAATGGACCTTACACCATATTCTCAGAAAGAAACAATATGATAGTCAAACGGTCATTATTTGCAGTGCTGTATCTCATTACTCAAACTCTGATTCTCTCCAGAGCTTCTTGGCACCAATGCTGTGTGCCACGCACATTGTGTCACATTTTCAGTGACTGTTGTTTGTCCACACTGAAAACAAAATCACAGCCAATCAGAACATAGTTGATGTTTAGAGCGCAACAGTGACCGCCTACTTTGTCTGCAGATTTAGTTTTGGAAGTATTTTTTGCATTCAATTTCTTCATAGTAAAAAGTGGTAAGCCATGAATCAAACCAGAGGAATTACAACATTATAAATTAGGTACAAGACTGCATATTACTGAGCAACTAAACTACTTAACCTACAAAGCACTGTGATATAACAATATCAAACTATTTCCAAAAAATAATTATAAGTATAAAATCCAATATATTTGAAGTTTATTGCAAAATATATACAAATATGTAGTTTGAGACGATTACATCATTTACATACTCCATGCAGGAGGGCGGCTCATATGTAATGGCAAGTTTACAATTTTTGGTAAAAGTTCTCCGATTGGTGGATCTCTCTTCAGAATTATGGGTAGTGTAGTTCTTCATCACAAATCTAGCTGTTAAACATTATTTTTTAGAAATTATGTTGAAATTATACTGACTTGCCACTTCTACTAGTAAAGAATAGTTCTTCTAGTAAAGATACTTTTTTGCTGTTTTGTTTGTTAAACGTATAAAAAAGATAACAATTGTATAACAACATAAATAATTACTCTCTCACTGTGAACACACCTGTGGGAAAAAAATATCCAAAACATGAGATGTGCTCTAAAAAGTTATTGAAACAATCTGTACTGTATAAAGCGGTATATAAAAAAGGTATATATTAAGTGTTTCAGACTAACTCAGCATACAGTTTAAAGTGGCTTGCCCTCCTGTCAGATGTGTCTGCTGCTTAATGCAATTGAAACATGTTTTCCTCAGTGTATAACTTACAATACAGTTTTACCCTTATCTGTAAATGTTAGAAAGTCATGTATTTCCATTTTGCAAAAAGGCTTGTCTTGACAGCAAGCGAGCATGCGTTAGACTTCACTAACTTCATTGAAAGAACGGCTGCACATATATGTGCATCAAACAGACGCAGCACAATTTACTCATTTCAACTAAAATATATTTTTTGCTAAAAAAAAAAAATGCATCCAAAAGTGAAAGAACTTCAAATCTCCACCCCTTTACAACGATACCATAAACCCGAGTATGAAGAGTGTATTGTAGCTGTTTGCAGCAGTAACTTTATTTAAAGAGAGTCTTTATTTGCATTTACATTTAGGGATGTAACGATTCACTCAACTCACGTTTCGATCTGATTCACGATTTTGATTTCGCGATTCGATTATCTCATGATTTTTTTTTAACAAAATGAGATTGAAGACATTATACAGTAAATGAAAAGGTGTCGTTTTATTAGGCTATTGCTGCACGTTTCTTTGTGAAATTGAAATATAACAAATCTAAATTGAAATTTTAAAACAAACCCCAAATCAAACAAGTAAGTTACACAAATAAAATAAATATCTTAATATGAACAAACTAAGGCTTTGTCTGT